CCTGGACTGCATGTTAAGATATCTGAAACCAAGAGGTGTCTATGGAGGATATTGTAATAGGTCATTAGGCTTATATATTCTTTTGCTTTGGTCTTCTGCTTCGTTGCGGCCATACGCGGTCAACTTTTGATCTGCAGATTATAACCCCCCCAGTCCCTCAGAGTGCTTCTCGTGGTTTTCAGTGTACCCAGAAGGGACATATCATCGCGGCTCCAGGAGCTTCATGAGGAAAACAGCGAACACAATGTTTAGCGAGGAATTGCAAGGTCTGGGATTTACAGAACTTCCGGCATTGCACATCAGTTCAGAACCATGTTAGGATTATTCCACCTCTAAACAAAAAAAAAAACACTTGCTCTAATAAAAAGGTCACCTTGCCCATAGAAATCATTTTCTGGGGGTTTGAACAGCTCATGGCAAAATCTCCTTTCCCATCCAATCCCAACACCTCCCTCTCCCTCCTTTAACCTCCGATGGAAGGCCCACAAGCACCTCCAACAGCTTGTTGGCCGCATCGGCCGGCTCCAGCATTTCCCTCGTTCCCCAATACTGATTGGTAAAATCCGTGTGCACAGTACCAGGGTGCAACGCCACAGCAATTGCCCTCTGCCCACTCTTCGCGCGCAAATGCAAATCAAAAGTCTTGGCCAATTGGATTACAGCTGCCTTGCTTGCACGGTAGGAATACCACCCGCCTGAGGCATTGTCGGATATTGAGCCGACTCGAGCGGCCATCATTGCATAGATGGCATGAGAGGGCAAGCACAGCGGATATTGAGCGCTTATCACAGAGCTAGACTCTGTTGTCGGGAATTCTGGTGAGGATTTTAATGGGACGAACTGGGAGAGATGCTTCATGAGTAGCAACGGGCCGAGGGAGTTGACTTTGAAACTTTCCAGCGCATTGGCAGCGTCGATTTTACTAGGTGATTTTTCCACATGCAGAATACCGGGAATTGTTAATCCTAGCCTGAGTGGTGTGTTTGGATATTCCTCGCGGATTTTGCCTGCCATTGCTGATATCGTAGACTCATCTGGGGAGTCGGTTAGTCTTATAGGACCGAGAAGCATGTCTTTCAGGGAATTGAGTTGCTTTTTTACCTGTTACATCAACCTGCAGAACGCGGAGTCTCTGCTCTGCATCTTTGGGCATGCCCTTGCTTGACAGCAATCGTTCCTTGAGTTCATCACAGTTCTTGCGGGCTGTTGCAATCACAGGGAGCTCGGTACCGGTTAAGAGCTGCTGTGCGAAGGCGAACCCCAGTCCTCGCGAGGCAGGAGTTATTAAAGCAAATCCATAAGCTGCTGGTAACATGGTGCATTTTCTGACCCAGTGTAAGTTGTTTTTTTTTAGCAGTGGGAGGTGGTAAAAGCAATTACTGTTCAGCTTGCATGTGACGTCACACAGCATGTCCATCGTCCATGTAAGCTTCGATCTGACATCCATTGTAGCGTTACTTCAATGCAATTCGGAACAGCATATTTAGCTACACTCAATAGTTACAATTTATTTTTCTTAAATCGACTACATATCTCCAAATGCCATTCAAACATAACCAATCTACCTCAAGACTTTCCCTCCAAATCATTGAAGAAGTCCCTACCAAACTCTCCACTGCTATCGTTAAAACGAAACTTCTTGTTGATTTTCTCAATCTTCTTCATGTCTTCTGGGCTCAGCTTGAAGTCACCTCCCAGGTTGGCCCTAATCCTCAAGGGCGTTTTAGACTTCGGCAGCACCGAGTGACCCTGCGAGACTCCCCAAGCTATCAAAACACACTGCAGTCAGCATCATGCAAATTAAATTCAGGCAGGTCACATTTACCAAGTGCAACTTGGGCAGAAGTTTTGTTGTAAGGCTCGCCTATCTCCGCCAACACAGGCTCCTCGAGCAATTTCGCGGGTCCACCCTTCTCACGATAGAGAGCGTTCTGGTTCCCAAATGGCGAGTAGTGCGTGATATGTATACCATTCTTTCGATGCCATTCAGTAAAATCACGCTGCTGGAGCCACGGATGACATTCCATTTGGTGGGCAGCGGGAACGATGGAAGTATTCTTGATCAGGCGCTCCATCTCAGACTTGTCGAAGTTCGAGACGCCGATCGCCCTCGCCTTACCGGTTTTCAGAAGCTGTTCCATTGCTTTGTATGTCTGCTTTGGTGTCAGCGCCCTTGCATCCATGGGTCAAGAGACGAGAGTGCGACGTACGTCGACAATGTCGATATTCTCTAGTATCGGCTTCTCATCCTTCTTCGGAAAGAGTTCTTCGCCTCGTTTCCAAGCCACGGGCCAGTGAATCAGGAACAGATCAACGTAGTCCATTTCCAGATCGTCCAGGGATTGCTGCAAAGCCGGTGCTACATCGTCCGGGTGGTGTTTGTTGTTCCATAGCTTGGTTGTGATGAAGATATCTTTGCGCGGAACGCCGCTTTTCTTGACGCCTCTACCAACGGCCTTCTCGGTTCCATAACTAGTATTAAGTCAGTGCTGTACATTTAGCTTGTCGCTCTTCTCGGTCAGGAGCAAGGATACTTACACCCGTGCAGTATCGATGTGACGGTATCCTACCTTGATTGCCTCTGCTACGGCATCTTCCTGCTCACTCGCATCCTGCCAGGTGCCGAATCCAATGGCTGGGATGTCTGCTCCGGTGTTCAACTTGAAGTTTGTGGGCATTTTTGATTAGTTTCTCTTCGGTTGGTTTTAATAATCGTTCAACAGTTCATGTCCTGCCATAATCTCCAGTTCGAATTCAGAGCGAAGTACAAGACACGATTATCAAAGACACGTCAAAGTGACGAATGCCATATTTGTGGTTGTGTATATTGATGACGTGTAAATGACATCTTTGGGATCAGCCAACATCCACTATGCACCTTGGAAAAGGCTGAAGCTCGCCAATTGAAGAAACTCACACTAGCTTCTCTCTGTCTAGAATGTCACTTAGCTGCCCAGGGTTTGGCTCTGCTAACACTCTGGCAGTAGGTGCTGGTCAGCTTTCGTGATGCCCTGCCTTCTACTAGCACTATCGAACACTCCCGAGTTCAAAATCAACAATCTTCGCCGCTGATTGCTAGATCAAATCATATATTAACGGTCATCTCCTGTTCGTGACGACAACGCTACCGGCTCTTACCGTCGGACTTGGTTTTGATATATCCTCACCAGCAATTCCACGCTATACTCAAGCATCTTAGGAATTTGTTCGCCGAGAAACCTGTTTCGAGTCTCCAAAACCTGCGTGCTGGGAGTTTCCGCCTTCTACGATCGGGCCTGTCCGTTCCATGTTGACGTCATGGACAAGGCTTCTTCGCCCAACAGCCTTGTATGGTTTCAGCAATTGACGCCCAAGCTCTTTGGCTTCTTGCAGGCTGTCGCGATATCAGTCTACGCTTTCAAATTGGCAATAAGACCCGCCGTACTTGCATGATGAAGCATGGAACGCACTCGGTGGAAAACATTGCCAAGGAGACCAATTCATCTTAACCGTTGCAGTGGTATGTATTGCTCCATTGATGTATCTCCAACCATCCCTTGTATGTGAGTGAGGACTGGCCATTCCGCATGTAAACACAGATACAGTTCCCTTGGCCATATCCACTCCCACTCTCGGCCCACGTATTTCGCCGATGTTTGATGCCAAGACAAACAACGCCAAAGGTCGCACGCGTCTACCGTAGCTTACCGCTTTAGTTTATATAGCGAGCTCCACCCGTAAATTTTTTTCTTTCCTTCTGTATCGCTCGGAATTCTCCAGCTCTCACTCCTTTCTTTTGGTTTTTTTTTTTCTTAGCTTGGACTGTGTCTAATGATGGCACACACTCCAGCTGTGCACAAAGCCTGAGACTAATCCCAGTGCTGAATAATGCTCTGTTTATTTTATTTTTTTCCAAAAGGTAAGGAAAATCTTTTCCCTTCCCAACCCCAAACCCCCGGGGATGATTATATTATAGACATGCAAAGGCATTCCTCAATCAGAAGATCCATGTTGAATCTGTCATACTTTTAAGTTTCAGCCTTGTCTGACCCATCACAAAAACATTATTACTTTACAAGTCATACATTGAGTGATTTTTGACTAACAATCTCTCGCTCAGGTAAATTACGCTTGAATTCAATCCCTTCCCTCCATTGCGGCTGTTGCCTAGCATGAAGAAATCTTGAACGAACGGGCGGACATAACGTACCCATCTCCCTTCATCCAACAAAACCAGAGCGTACAAACTCTGTGGGTGTATGGGAAGTGGATTACTTGTTGAGAATTCGTCACCTGAACCATTGCCCTGATCAAAATTATTTTATGTCGCATCGATAAGTTGAGACCAGCATTTCTAACAGAAATTTTAGGTAATTCATCCCTCATCTCTCTCTGCCTTCCTCAACATGGTCAAACCTATCATGATGATTGTGTTATTCACACTGTTGGACTTGGACCTCGTGTCCGGGAATGAACATTATACAAAAATTCTGATTTAATGAGGTATGTGTCTTCTGTCAATCAGAGAAATCGTATTTAATGCTGACTGACTCGAAGCCTGACTTAGTTGCCATGTCTTGATTTCGCTTTTGACTCACGCTTTTTGCTTGAATCTCATCGCTAACTCGACATAAGTGAACAAATAGGACTACACACAGGTAGACCATTTGGCTCGTTGACCGTGAGTTTACTCTGCTTTCGTTTCCTATCTCATTGCATGATGAACACCAATATACTGTTCTATCTCTGAACTATCATGTCGATAAACTATTTTCACCTTGGAGAACTGATCTTTTCCTTGACTGCCATCATTTCACTCATCTCGTTGTATGATCAATTGCTAATATGCATCACAGGAGCCATTGGTCATTTTATAATATTTTAATATCAAATAATATTTTTCTTAAATCACTTTTCCATTCGTGTCTTCAGGCTCCTCCCTTAGATCTCTCGTAGCCACACCGTAACTCCTATACACCATTTCCAACACCTGCCAATTCACTCATGCTCAATGGCATTCCCTACTCGACAAACAAACCATGCTTCTTGTGCCATCCCTCAAGACTATCCTCACCATACTCCTTGTGCACACTCTTCTTTCCCTCCGGCCACCGCGCCCACGCCGGCTTCGATCCATCCATGATACACACCATCTCGTCGGGCACCGGCAATTCCGTATCGATTGCGGAGGCAAACGGATGAATCAGTTCAGGCCAGTGGTGGTCCCAAAGCCACAGCATGGTACTGCAGTTAGAGCAGAAGTTCCGCTCGGAAGCGCAAAGCTCTTCATCTGGTGTGCCGCGGTCTTTGATGGCAGAGTATTTCCTGGTCATGGCGTTAGTATATGTGATCGATGATATAATGAACGTATTCCAGTGTATGGAACGACAGTTTCCGGGTATATCCTGTGCTCGAAAGTCAAATTGGGTGAATGTGGATAGCTCGTACTTGATGAGATCTTTGCCCTTGATGATATTCAGGCTATCAGCGATGCCACCTAGGTTCACAGCCCCGAGGTATCCGCCTACTTTGCGGCAGATGCTGCAAGCGCATAGCTGGTAGGGAACTGGTGTTGGGGACTGGAGGGTAAATTCAACGCCGCCGCATTGGCAGCTTCCTTCGAGGTTCCTATAGACCCGGTTAGTCTGTCTGTTTCGAGGATGCAAGGCGGGCTCTACATACATAGGCATGATTTGGCGTGTTTGTTTGATAACCTAGTAGCAAGTAAGAGTATAATCCAAGCGATGTATTCAAGTTGGTGGGAAAGATTTGAGTTTATCCAAAGTTAAGAGGTGCTCCTTGATATATATACTTCCACCCCACTGAGGGGGGAAAATCCGACAACAAAACCAACAAAAAGAGCAAACCAGACTGGGCTCATACGATTAGAGGAGAGTCTAACCCCACCAATATATTTCCTATCAATGAACCTATATCCGAATGCCCGAGGCCTATTCCCTAGACGCCGGTTGATCTCATGACTATACCCCGCAGCTGTGATTGGCTGAACTGTGTTTGTATTGTTTGTTCTGTTTGTCTATCAGACGTTTGGATTCGCGTTCGCCGACTGATGCTCATCTCGCTGAGCTACTTTCTCGTCTGTACCAAAGCACGATCCTGTTGTGTTGAATAGAGCGGATATACGCTCAATCTTGCTGAAAATGAGTTTTGGAGCCCCCGGCGGTGGGTCGGTGAATTACAAGCCATCACCGTGAGTTGGATGATTCTAACCGTGCATACATATTTGTGCCTGCGGCATGCTGTCTAGCGAACGAACGAGATTGAATTCCTTGTCTACAGAATTGCTAACCAACTGATACCATCTGCAGACCCGAGCGCGGTAGCTTTCCTCTTGACCACGAAGGTACGCCAGCCCACAGTTACACGGCCCATATCCCGAATAAATGCGGCAAGACCAGCCAAGACAATGAAGCTAATTACAAATTGGGACACTGCAGGAGAATGCAAGCACGTTATTTCGGGTTACCTGAAGTGTATCAAGATGAACAAAGGCACAAATGACGAGGCGTGTCGCAAATTGGCAAAGGAATACCTTGCCTGCCGCATGGACAAGTAAGTCAGCCCGATACGCACAAGCACCGACTATCGCCATTGGAAAGGAATTGGACTCGTGACGAATGTTAAAGCAAAATGCTGATCTAGACGACTGGTGATTAGGAACCTCATGGCGCCGGATAACTTCGAGAACCTTGGGCTAGTGTTTAAAGACGGCGAAGGGAAACAACAGACACCAGCCACACCAGCTGCAAGCGCAACAAATCTAGGCTAGAAAAGCTGATATAGGACTGGGAGACGTTGGGTGATATTGTATGATATAGAGGAGTGGCGCTAGTCCGTGATATTCGGGTAGTGCTGGCATTATTCAAGGCGTTGCACATAAGAAAATGTATTTGGTACCTATTTAACACATGAAATAAGTAAATATGATCCGTGTAAATGAGTGAGCATCGAAATTCGCCCAATTATACCAATCTGAACAGTGCTGATATGTTGGCTCTCATATGCTATATGCGTTCCCCGCATATGGAACCGTTTCCGCCCAGCCACTCTTACGATCTCCAACTCCTCCACGGAGCCCCAATCCACCAAATGTCATCCATCGCCCGGCCACCAGACCCGTGCCTCGTGGCCATCATCCTCATTGTGCGCTCTCGCACCGGCCCCCGTCTCGTTTTCCACTACCCCCCGAACCCGCTCAGCGAGAGCCGCATTAAAACCACCACCAAGGGCGGCCGGCGCGTCTCGCGCACTCGCACACGATCCAAAAATACCGATTCGAGCTCGAGCTCCGAGAGTGGCTTGAGTTCTGATGAAGATGAGGATGAACGGGAAACACAGAGCCATGCTGGTGGGAGTTCCGTGCTGGCGGGTCGCCGCGCTAGCAACTTCGGCCTCGATGATCATCTCCCCGCCGCTGCATCGCCTGCTGCTGGTGAAACCCAGCGCCCACCGTCGCTAGGCTCTGCGCGCGGCTCGTCTGCTCGGAAACGGGCTGCGGGCACCGATCCGGATCCCGACGACGATGCGGGGACGGCGTCTGATCGGCCTGATGATGGCCCTGGGAGCTCTAGGCCGCCTTGGGAGTCGCTTTTGGGTGTGCCTGGGAGTGTGTGGGAGAAACTGCTTAGTCCATCTAGGTCGTGGCATAAGCGGCGCTTTGAGGTTGGCATCAATGATTTGGCGCTTATTGGTTGGCCGGTCTTTGTGCGCGAGGATGGCTCATGGCGCAAGCAACGACGCAAGAAGCAGAAGAAGCCTCGTGCTGAATGGGACGGTGGGGAATTAGGCCATAATGATAGTGCTGAGGAGGGCAAGAAGGACGAGCAATTTGTTACTTCGCCTGATCTGGGTGCCAGTGTCGCTTCCATTGCGGAGTCGCTGACATCGCCGACAGACAGCAAGCGTTCGTCAACCGGCGGACGGCCTGGGAAATCAGATGAGTCGCTTGATCCGGAGGACAAAGACCATATGACAATGTTCAATGTTGTCTTTGTTGTGGATCCTCCTTTGCTGGAGTACTCCATGCGTGTGAAGGAAATCTACGAAAACATCATCAAAAAATTCGCCAAAGCTCTCAAATGGGAACAGGCCCGCACTGACTATGTGTGGAAGGAGTCTCAACATATTCTCCAAGTGAGGAGAAGAGCGCGAGAGACAAGTATGTTTCCTGCTAATCACCGCCCTGCTGAAGCTGACAATGATACTGGACAGAAACATCAACCCATAATCTTTACTCCGAATTGATATCTCAGTCGTCTCTAGCTCGAGCTATCTACACAGTCTATAGCAGCATATCAGCATCCAAAATCGCATCCGTATCGCTCAGCCCGGATGTTTCCATCTCGCTCCAGATCCCACCTTTGACCTCTACAGCATACCTTACTGGTCCTATGGATAAAGCATACCCCGGCCTCTGGCTCACAACAGCAGACAGTGCAACCCCTGCCGAGGATCCAAGTGTGGATGAAATCAATGTGCCACATCAGGTCCTGGCAAAGCACTTTGCTTTACTTCTGTTGGATAGTGAAGCCGCCATTATCAAGGACATTGAAGCGTCCGGGGGGACGCTGGCCCCCGCGCTTGCGCATTATATCCGATGCTCCAAGCCAACCAAGTCATTTGCACAGATATCAGTATCATCGGGAATCCCACTATCCCATATCCAGATGCTGTCAAGCCATCTTGTATACTGGCGTCGTGCTCGCGCCATCCCTCCCATCCACCAACGAGACACATACATCGTCTCTCCAAACTGTGACTTGAGCAAGCTTGAAATAGCTACGATTGCTTATCAGACAGCATTCCCAACCTACCCTAGTTTGCCAAAAATGCTTTCCACGCTCAGTGGTACCCCTCGCCCTTATAGCAACTTCATCCCCAGCAAAGACCACAAAGAGATCTATTTTACTATCCTGGCCTGGTTACTGCGCGGCGGCTGGGTCACCCAGCTCCGCACTTTCGCTCGCATCAAAGTCTCACCTGAGGTCAAAATGGCCGTGGAGATGGCGCTGCGCAAGGAGGAAGTTGAGCGATACCTGTCCAAGGGCAACTCAAATTCGATCTCGGTGGACGAGGACGATGATAGTGACTCTGACGATGAACATGACGACGCGAACTCTTCCTCGTCCTCTTCCCTCGACAGCCACGGCAGCGGAGATGAAACGCCCACACCCAATCGACTTGACCCACACGCCCAACTACGCTCTTCTCACAAACTCCTCGATCAATCAACAGCTCTCCGGCTGTCCTCCTTCATCCTTTCCCCGCACCGCGCATCCCCACTCGAGTCCCGCTGGCTTGACGAAATCTTCTCCCGATTCCCCGACAACCCTAGACCCGTCCAGGGAGACGAAAACGCCAGTCCGGATATCACGCCCAACGATAGCCTGGCCCTGCACAAGCAGTACTGGCCTGTCTTCCTCAAGTACTTCAATGGCTACGATGCCCTGGAGAAGATCTGCGTGCGCGAGGGTCTTAAGCGCAAGCTTGTCTGGCAGGTCCTTATGCGCCTGGGCTTGGTGACGGGTCCACTGGGCGCGATGGATCTCGATGCGCGTGAACAGGTGTTGGTTAGTGTTCGACATTGGTAGGTGGTTTTTATGGTGTTGGCTCGGAATATGGAACATGGTGTTTTCTCTAGAAGAACAATGATATCCCTCTTTTACATAGACGTCGGTTTCTGTTCATATCAGGCAAATCCCGCTGGTATAGATCCCGGAGACCGGAAGCACTTCAGTTTCGGGGTACTACATGTAGTAATACAGCCCGTGTATTCTGATTACATACCCACTCTGCTATTCCGATGGTTTCCGCGTGCCCTCAGCCCTAATCACTGCCGAAAGCACACCGTTTTGAATATGGACTTATTAGATGAAGGGGAATTGGGATGGTTCGTATTCGAGTTATTTAGTTTAATTGGATTGGTTCGTTTAATTTTTATTTAAAGATATACATGTACGGGGGAAAAAAGAGTGACAGTGTTAGTATGTACCAAGGCAGTTCACGTGTTCCAACATTGGTCAATTATATCACATTCTTTTCGTCGCACAATGATCAGCATAGGTAATTTTGTTTTCTCGCAGGGTACTATGTAATCTAATATGTAATCCCTCACTTGGCACTTCTTCATTCGAATGTATTGATGTGTATTACGTTTACCCCAATTCCCATCACCGGGCCGTATATCCGATCAACGGTCCAACGGGCTGAAGATTGCAAGGGCCTGAGGGGGATTTGGGTTATAGTTGGGTGTGTGTATATTTAAGTTGATAATAACATATGACGGTTCTATAATATGGCTGCTATGATATTCTACGTATTATTTATTATATATATAATAACAATAATAATAATAATAACAGTTGTCATTTCAATGATAACCTCGTCTCTCCCACGTCAGATATTTCTATTGTGCGCCAATGGTTCCGGTGGACCCCGCGATGTTCAGATACACTTTGTATGTATTCTTGCTGCAAGTTGATGAGGGGAATCTTAGTATAGGTATTCCGTTGTATTCTATACGACATCTATTGTTAGGACTTGAATAGAAGCTCGATCTATAAAGTAAAAGGTCTTCGATTGAAGGTCCGGAACAAGAACGCCATAGTGTTATCCAATTGGCTGGACTTCTGTTGCTTGAGAGCTTAGAACCCTGAAGTATCGCCACTTCGACACCTATTTTAATCATGGGTCGCCTGAGCTGTGATTGTTATTGGGCCAATACCCTTTAAAGAAGCATGCGGCTCAATTATATGACTTTGAACTGATTCTTTGTTGGTTTCATAGACTACACATGGATGTATAAAAAGCACCTGAATGCCGAGAGTATTATTGACCTCGGTAAAGTGAATACACAACTAGAAGTGGACATAGTATGTATAAGACAGGGTATTCTAGGGATTCATAATGTGTTCAGTCTGCTATGCGTAATAAGTATATAAGTACTCCGTACTCCGTACTATGGGATTATATGCCTCACTCAGCTAGTACTAACTCAGCTCCGAGATGCCCGACTATATATGGATTGACCTAGGGAACCCGAGACAAGGCAATCCTCACTTGAATTAGAAATGATATATGATATTTAAAGAAAAGAAACCCTGCAAATAAAATGAAAAGAAATTAGACCAAAGAGAAGTTGTTTTTTTATTTTTTTCAAAAGTCCTTTTATGCGAAATTCCACAATAAAAAATGAAAATAAAAAAACCATACAAAATGTGTCCATCCAATATTAATTACGTGTAAAGAAAAAACCCCGCTACCAGTTCTGCCCTGAACCAAATAATTTTGCTTCTCTCTCTTCTCTACATTTCTTCCCCCTCCGCATCGGGTTGTTTTCTCCCTTCTTCCGCGACTTCCTTTCTCCCTTACGGTACCTCTCCGTCTCAGAGAGAACCGAGATTCTTCCTCCGACTCCCACGTGCCGATTCCGCGGTCATTTTTTTTTCAAGGGATTGATCTTGTGCTTCGCATCCTTGTCGAATCTTGAGTGGACTTACACAGCGTTCCTGTGAATCCGACTTGCATCCCCCACTCAGCGACTAAGCCCTTTCAACCCTTCTTAGTCTGACGACGTCGACAAGGCAGTGCCTTCGTTGCGTCCTCGGTGGGAATTTTTTTTTTCCTTAACACACCTTACTCTTTGTTTTCTGACAACCTGTGCGCTCACAAGTCACGGCTGTTGAGATCACCCCTCCACACCGAGAAATCGACGGTCCATTCATCCATGCGATTTGTGGTCTAGACGATCCTCCCAGCAGATACAACTCC